AGCCCACCTGTGAAGTACAAAGAGGTAAAAGAGGTGAAATTTTTCTTTGACCTCTCCTAGTTCTGTGTTGCAGCCCTGGTGTGGTGCTGTGGGTTAATGCGCTGGACTGCAAAGTTGTTTTAAACTACAACATTGGTGGTTCACATTCACCAGCTGCTCCTCAGAAACCCTACACAGGGTCGCAATGGGTCAGAACCAACTCGAAGGCACTTAACAACAAGTCCTGTGGTGGACTTCTGGTGTGGTGTTGTAGGGTAAGTGAAGTACTGCAGGTCAGTTTAAACCACAAGGTCCACAGTTCAAACTTACCAGTCACTCCTCAGAAACTCTATACTGGGTTGCTATGAGTTGGAACTGACTCAATGGCATTTAACAACAGCAACAGTCCTATAGTGTTGGTGAAGAACATTGAATACATTAGGGACTGTTATAAAAAGGAACAAGTACAGTGTTGGACGAAGTACAGTCAGAATGCTTCTTAGAAGACGGATGGCCAGACTTAGTCTCATGTACTTTGAACATAGTTTTATGAGGGACCGAGAAGGACATCATGCTTGGTAAGTAGGGGGTCAGTGAAAAGTAAGACCCTCAATGAGACAGATTAACACAATGGCTGCCACAATGTACCCAAACCTAGAAACAATTATGAGGACGATGCAGGGCCAGGCTGTGTTTCCTTCTGTTGTATGTCGGGTCGCTATGAGTTGGAATCAGCTCAACAACACTAAACAACAACAACAACAGAGCTATGCTCACTTCCATCCTGGTTTTACACTTTTTTGTCAGCTAGCTTTCCCCAGATGTCCTGACCTCTTGCAGCTGAGCAGGTGCCAAAAACGAAACTCCGTACGGGGCACTTTTTTAGGGCAGTCAAAGTCTTCTCGTGATAACAGTAGATGCAAGACGTCAGAGAAATGGAATCACCATACAACTGAATCCAACAGATAGAGACCCCATATGTGTCAGGCGATCTTTTAGAAGTGGATCACCAGATCTTTCTCCTGAGGCAGTTAGGGTTGGGTTCAAACCATCAACTTTTGGGTTGTAGCTGAGTGCTTAGCCATTTGCACCACCCTGAGGCTCTTGCATGAATTTTCAGATTTGTCAAAAACCCATACAACTACACAACACGAAGAGAAAGCCGTAGGTCCCCAGGTGGTACAAATGGCTTACGTTCAACTGCTACCAAAAGGTTGGCAATTCACACACATCCAGTAACACCAGGGAAGGAAGGCCAGGCAATGGGCTTCCATGGATGAGTCATTGGGTGTGAGGGGAGAGTGAACCCTAACGTCAACTATAAACTGACATAAGTAATAATCTAGCATATCAATTGCAAGAAATGCACCACAAGATGTTAATAATTGGGGAAGCCGAGCTCAGGGGCATACGGAAGCTCTATACTCCCTGCTTAATGTTTCTGTAGATCTAAAACTGCTATTAAAACAAAACAAAACACCGATGAATTAATTAATTTTAAATAGAAGAAGAAGCCGGGAGCTCCAGACACACTAACTTCTGCAGCCATGTTGACCTACCTGCAGTTCTTTATTTACATATTTCCCTCCACCCAGAGTTCTTTCTTACCCATCCTGCTTAGCACAATCCTGCATCCTCCCAGGACCACCTCACCATTTCCTGCTCCTTTTTTTCTGTTCCTTTTGCCCCACCCTCTCTTAGAGCATAGCACCTCTTTTCTCTCAAGTTTCACAGGTCAAAGTTGAACTTAAACTTGACTCCTCTAGCGTTGTCTCACTGTGCACCCTTCTGTCAACAAATCCTATTGGTTTTGTCTGGGAAACAAAACCCTAACCTGACCATTTTCAATGCCTCTCCCACTCTCCTCCTGCACTAAGTGACTTCCTTTCTACCTGGGTTCCTGCTCTCCTCCAATAACCCTTCTCTGTTCTCCAGTCAGCAGCTGGAGTGCTCTTTTAAAACACAAATCTGATCATGTCACTTCCCTGCTCAAAAACCTCCAGAGGTTCCCTATTCCTCTTAGAATACATTTCCAAGTCCTTGCTCTGACCCCTGGCTGCCCCTTCTTTATCACCTTCTACCCATCTCTGGTTTCTTCTCCACCCCATTCTTTTCTCCTTGATGCCTCCAGGGAACTCTTTTGTGTGTGTGTTTCTGCATGTGCTGTTCCCTCTGCCTGGATGCTTTTCCTACAGCTATCCACAGGGTTCATGACTCAGCTTCATTTAGATCCTTGCTCAATCTTTCCTTCTAGTGTGTGTGTGAAGATGTTGTTGTTAGGTGCCGTCGAGTCGGTACCGACTCATAGCAACGATATGCACCAATTCAACAATTTCTACATGTACAATTCAATGACATTATTCCCACTCTTCAAGTTGTGCTAACTTTCTCAATTATTTCACCCCTATCAGCACAAACTCACCGCCCCCTAAGCTTCCCATCTAACATTTTTGAGTTGCTGTTGTCAATTTGATCTCATGCAGATAATTCTTAAAAAGAACACAATGCTCAAGTAAGGCATGATTTCCTAATTAAAGTAAACTATTGCTTGTGTTCAAGATGACTTCAGGGGATAGTTTCAGTTGAGAGTTTAATGTTTAAAGATGTTCACAGGGCAATAGTTTGGGGAGGTGGGGAGAGGGGATCATCCAGCCTCAATTGCCCCGTAAGTCTAGACTCTCTGAGGCTTTGAAATTCTGTTTCATATTTTTAACCCTTTTGTTCAGGATCCTTTGATAGAATCTTTCCTCAAATTCAAATGTTTTCTCAAAAAAAAAAAAAAAAAAAAAGTTTTATACTGTCTTCCTGGCTCAAGATCCACCCCAAGTTCCAAGAATACCAGTTTCATATGCCCACAGAACATTGTTGTTGTTGTTAAGTGCCGTCGAGTCGGTTCCGACCCATAGCGACCCTGTACAGGGTTTCCGAGGGTGTAAATCCTTACGGGAGTAGAAAGCCTCATCTTTCTCCCGCGGAGGAGCTGGTAGTTTCGAACCGCTGACCTTAAGGTTCGCAGCCCGATTCGTAACCACTACGCTACCAGAGCTCCTTAGGGCTTTCCTAATTCAACGAGCAATCTCAGCTTTATAGTCACGGTCCTCTGACCCCTGCCTCCCCCCTGATACCTTCCTTCCTCCCTTCTAGAAAATATACCCAATGTGACCTTCTCCCTTCTGGGATGATTGGGAGAGGTTTTCATTTCCAGCTCATGAAGATGGTATCGTTCAATCAGTACAGAAACACACAGATACAACAACAACAACAAAATAATTCAAACTACTTCTTTAAAGAAGTCCTCATGATCACCTTTCACATCACTTTCTCTGTCTCAATATTCCTTCACAGACTTTCACTATAATGCTGTGTTATACTTCAGTTGTTAGTGACTATGTCCCCCAACCAGAATAAGAGCTGTGTAAAGGACTGACTCTACTTCCCTGTCCCTAGAACAGTGTGTGCCACAGATGGGTGCTCCATCAATGTTTACTAGAAGAATGGAGGATTGATTCTCACCCCTTGGAGACATGCCTCGTCTGCCTTTGCACCTCTTTCAGCTCCTTGTTTATACTTTACTTTAAACAAGTTATTTGATGGCAAGGCCAGGTCCCCCACAGTGACCAGCATATGGCCTGGCACATAATAGATGTCCGCAAGTACAATTAAACAGAAGTCATTGAACGGCCCATTCTTAGAAGTCTATTGAAATCTTGAGATGATTTTTTAATCCCATGTATCTGGGTTCTACACTGGACAAATTGACACCGTCATTAGTAAATTTGATTCTCAGCTAATGGACTGTATACTTTTCACATCATCATCTGCAAACAGGGAGCTGGGCCAGGCTGGCCCAAACCTATTAATCAGCTGACTCTTCATTCTACCCTATTGAGCAAGTTCAGGGTGTATCAGTAGAAGTCACATTATGGCTGAGCAAGCAGCCCGGGATGGGTGGGGCCCTCAAGGGAGTTGCTGTGTTTGAAGGTCACTGGGGCTATCCCTTCCCTGGGGCCCAACCCCCTAACATGCTACAGAATGTTATATAATATTTTCTGCTGTATCATTGTAATGTAATGAATTTCCTCAAGAAGTACAAAGGCTTTTGACACCTCCCAAAGGTACTGGAATGCCTTCCATATTTTCTGCTAATAGTCCTATGCTTGTGCCTAGTGGTCTTTGTCAGTGGGCTATGGCAGTAGCCTCTTGGAGTTGACCTATCACTGAGTGTGCCTCACTGAATCCAAGATTCAGGGATGCTAGAACTCTTGAGGAATTCCACTTCTGATAGAGGCTGCAGGCATGGTAATTGACGAGGACCAACCCAAGAGTCACCCCGTTCGTTCATCAGTCATTATGTGTGGTACCCTGCAAGGTCCATCCCATTATGGTTACAAAAATACAATTACATACAGTCTAACAGAAAAGGGAACACTCAGAATTTTGGCAGGTCCCCAAACACTGCTTTGTTTTCCTTCTCCTCCCTTCATTTCTAGATCTGCTGGTCGGAATCGACTCAATGGCATGTGACAACAGCAAACCACCAGCGGCTCCCATCACCTGTGTTGGAAAATGCTAGCATTTGGGGAGCAAACTCACCCATGCTACATTCTTTATCCTGCTTTCCATAAGGCCTCCTCCTCTGTCCAGGCCTGGTAAGCCTGTGTCCAGCAGGTTTCTATAGAATGTGATTTGACCAATGTGTGTCTAGATGGGAGCATCTCAGTCTATCACCTACTGCACCTGACATTTTCCAGCAGGGAGCTAGGCTTAGTTCACCTCAGATTTACACGGTGTCTCGTTGACTCTTCCTAGCAAGCGTGTCAACAGAGCTGAATTCACTACTCTCCAATTGTTATAGTCCCAGTGGGCCCTGCCTCAACTTATTCCATGTTTTAGTCAAAATTCGAACTCTGTAGCTTTGTCATTTTGGCATAAATTAATCCAAAACTTTTAATTTCACGGTCCTAGAGTCTGCAGGCTCTTCTTTCAAAGCCCCCACCCCTCACCCCAAATCTTGAGCATACCTTCATGAAGAATATCCTTCTGCAGGTCTTGCCTCGATCGCTCCCAGCAGCTTGGAGATGAACAGCTTCAGAAGCCAGTGCTAGATCCGGGATGCTGCTCGGCCCAGCCTCCGATGTGTCTGCCAGCTGCACAGACGAGTGGGAAAGCCCCTCTTTGCCCCGGCATAGGGAAATCTCAAAAGGATCCGGACATTTCTCATCAGGGCTAGAACCATCATCACTGGTCTTAGCATTACAGAGGATCAGGGACCGAGAGATGGACCGGAACTTTGCAGATTTTCTGCTCCTTCCAGAACGGTTGTGTGGCTCCATCCTCAGAGAAGCAGTAAAGCTGCCCTTCTTCCTTTCCCTCGGTTGGCGGGCGGTGATGGCATTGGGCTTGGCTGCCACTTCATGGGCCCCTGGAGGAAAGAGGAAGCAGGGAGAAGCAATGTGACTTGCTGCTGACCAGTGAAGTCCAGGAACTGCACCACACGTGCCAGGTGCCTGTGAGCAGGACAGATGGGAAGACTGTCCTTTAATGTCACTGGTCCTGTTTACACATCCCCCACCTCCAGGATCATGGAAGCCCAAGAGTGGGCAGGTATTCAGAGCTTTTCTTGTCCCAGACCTCACTTGATGACAGGGAAACTAAGGCTCAGAGAGGGGGAAATGCAAACCCGAGGCACAAAGAACATGAGCAGATGAGCTGGAAGTCACAGAATTGCAGGAGAACTTTTAGAGATCATAGAGACCCGTGCTTTTAAAGGATTTTAGATGTGAAGAAACGTTTATGGGGAACTGCAGTATATAGTACAGGTCAAAGGGGAGAGAAGGAAGAAAAGAGGGAGAGTGCTCTACCTGCCAAGTCCCCTTTAACTATGCTTGGTAACTCTGGTGGCATTTCCAAAGAAGCCCCACAATGTGTGGAGTTCAATCTGGAGCGCGCCAGTCTCTGGTGTTCTCAGTTTACTGATGATGAGCCTAAGACCTAGGGTGTTCCACTAACAGTGACCCGCCAGGCTGATCTGAGTGTCAAAGAAGCATGTAATATGTCTGCCAAAAGGCTCAGAGCACAACAGGCATGTGGTACACACGTGTGCCCGTCCCTGGGCCCAAGGTCCCATGCTAGGATCTGCTGCTCCTTTGCCCATTCCACCAAGCTTTCACAGCCTGATGGGTAAAGACTGGCTTTCCACACCAGATCATCAGCGTGCCTCTCAGCCTGGCCCTGCCTAGGCCAGATAAACTTTACCAAGTGGCACCTCCCCTGGATTCAGTTTCCATGAGGCAGGTGGCGAAAGGGGCCTGGTGCTGCATTCAGACTTCTGAGTCAGGCCCAGGCCACAGAGCAAAGCCTGCTGCCAGAACAACAAATTGTGGGAAGCTCTTGGCCCTTGGATACAGCCGTTTGTGCTCATCCAGTATTGAATTAGGAAAAGCCGACCTTCCAATGTTTCATTAAATATTAATCTTTTTATATATTCCCCAGAAGAGATTTTTTTCTTAAAAGGAGACTGTGTTTTCCAACACCCAGGTTTCTGTATTAGAGCTTTATTTTGTCAGTTTATTCACCATCTCCAGCAGCAAATAGGAATGAATAAATTAATTAAAAATGATGGATGGATGGATAAAGTTTGAGGTGGGGGCTACTTGAGATGGCCGTGTGCTTATGTATCCTGTTGTTGAATTAACTCAGTATTGGTCTGTTTCACCAAGCACCCTCTTGCCAATATTCCAAATTCTTATGCCCACTATTGGAAGTGTGGTGGCTCTACAGGATAAGGACTGGACTGTGAACCACAAGGTCAGAGGTTTGAGTCCACTAGCCGCTCTGTAAAAGAAAGATGGGGCTTTCTGCTTCTGCAAAGTTTAAAGCCTCAGAAACTCTGTACAGAGTCACTATGAGTTGGAACCAACTCGATGGCACTTAACAACACCACCATACTTCCTATCCTTCCATCTCAAATGATAGCAAAATCTTGCCCATAGATGAATCCACCTCTCTATCATGTTTCATACTTACCACAGGTGACCAAGCCCTGAAGAAAACATTCCTACTCCAAAGCACATTGGTACCACAAAAGAGTCACAGCCAACAACTGGGCCTCCGACTTTGCCATTTGTGTACACTCTGGTCCCATAATGAGCTAGATGACACAGTCTCAGTAAAGACTATTTCAGAGCTTCACTCTCTTAACATTTAGATTATCTTCTCCCTCACCAGAAACAGGTAGCATTGCTACCTTCTTCATTGAAATACAAAAGCCCTCAGTCAGCAATGCCCCAAGTTTCCCAACATCAGTCTCCAAACCCACTTGCCATCTGTACACAGTTGTACATGCTGTTTGTAATGAAACAGGTACTCACCCTTCTGGTTCAGATCGGACCCTTTCCAGGCATGCAGCAATAAAATACGCTATTGTAGTTAAGTGCCATCGAGTCAGTGCCAACCCATAGCGACCCTGTGTAGAGTTTCCAAGGAGTGAATGGTGAGCTTGAACTGCTGGCCTTCTGGTTCAAACGACTTTGCAGTCTGGCGCATTAACCCACAGCGCCATATAATCAGATCTAATTTTTTTTTTAGAACTTGTGATGTACCAGGCACTGCTGTAAATGTTTTGCCATTCAATCCGCATAACTATCCTTGTTTTAAAGAAGAGGTCACTGAAACTCAGAGAGGTTACGGAACTTTCTCAAGATCACACAGCTAGGACTCAGAGAAGGCAGGATTGAACTGGGCAGTATGACTCCGGAGCCTCCCTGCCAGTGAGGCTCTCTCCTTCTCTCACCTTTAACCTCAATCTCTCCCTTTGTACTGGATCTTTATCATAGGTATGTGGTGGGAGAGGGGGGTGGTTATGTGCTGTGGAGTCGGTTCTGACTCATAGTGACCCTGCACAGGATTTCTAAGACTGTAAATCTTTACGGGAGCAGAAAGCCTCACCTTTCTCTCGTGGAACAGCTGGTAGTTTCCAACTGCTAACTTTCATAGGTATGTAGATATGCTCACCTCTTTTCTGTCTTTAATAAAGAGTTCCAACTTCACATCCTTATCTTGTTACCTGCTTCTCTTTGCTCCCCTTCATATGCTGAACAAATATTCTAGATTGTACCTTCGGTTACGACTCGGGCTGTGAACCGCAAGGTCAGCAGTTCGAAACTACCAGCTGCTCCGCGGGAGAAAGATGAGGCTTTCTACTCCCGTAAAGATTTACACCCCAGAAACCCTATACAGGGTCGCTATGAGTCGGTTCCGACTCCACGGCACATAACAACAACAACAACAACAACAACCTCTTATTTGAGCCTCAGCCATCGGAGTTTGCTTTCTTCTTCCTAAAACCATGGAAACTCTATCTTATCAATTGTACCTTATTGCACGGAGTCCTGGTGTGGCATTGTGGGTTAACGCGCTGGACTGCAAAAGTTGCTTGAATCGCAAGGTACAGAGGTTCAAGCTCACCAGCCACTCCTTGGAAACCCTATACAGGGGTACTATAGGTTAGAATCGACTCAACGACACTTCACAATGCAGCAAAGTCACGAACATTGAGTCTAGAGGTCAGAATCTTCTTGGTCGTCTTCCTCCACCCCTGCGCCCTTTGGAAAGGATTTGATATAGAGAGGTCAAGCTTTAGGGCAGATGCTTTGTTTTTGGTTTTGTCATTATTCACCTCTACTTCCACAGGTCACCTTTCAAGTTCAGATCGGAACCACGCTCCTTCCTGCCACCATCTCTCAACACAGCCGTTCCCTTGCACTCTGCCAATTTAACTTCCCAGAACGAGTACTTCTCAGCATCTAGGTTACTATAAGTACTAGACATAACTAGATTCTTTCCATTTTGATCAGCTCCTGAGGACTATCACAGTTCACCTGGGACTCAAAGAAGGAAGTGAGTGCATATGCTATGGATTTGTGTGTACCCAACTTCGTGTGTGTGTGTTTCTGTGTTGTCTCAAAGTGTTCCTGGAGAAAGTTTCATCATATTTTCATTCCATTTCCTGCAAACTTTGTGAAGGCCCCCTCGTCTGTGTGAAGTGCATGTGTGTGCACTTGGTCACACTCAGCATTGGTGATGGTGGTGGTTATGTGCCGTGGAGTTGGTTCCAACTCACAGCGACCCTGCACAGGGTTTCCAAGGCTACAAATCTTCACAGGACCAGAATGCCTCATCTTTCTCACACAAAACAGCTGGTAGTTTAGAACTGCTGACCTTGAGGTTCGCAGCCCAACTCGTAACCACTTCGCAACCAGAGTGCCTTTCGTTACTCAAAAAATAAAGAGACAAAGTTTTTCATTAAAATCACGCTGAACTTTTAGTCCTTCTAAAGTGGGAGGATAGTATCAATGTAAAATTGCTGGGGGCCACCATGTGAAGTCCTGGTACGACACTGTGGGTTAATGCATTGAACTACAAAGTCAGTTTGAGCTGAAAGGTGGGCAGTTCAAACTCACCAGGCGCTCCTTGGAAACCCTATGCAGGGTGGCTATGAGTCAGAACTGACTCCATGGGACACAACAACAATGTGGAAAAGATTGTCTGTGAGTGAGGCCAACAGAGAGAACACAGAACCAGTAGGGTAGGGAGATGGAAAGAAAGCAGAGAAAAAGGGAGATGGGCCAGAGAGCAAGAGTCTGAGTAACTGAGTCCAGATGAACTGCTATGAGCACCTGGATCTAGCCACACCTAAAGCCACATCTTCCAGATCTTCAGTTACATAATCCAATCCATTTCTCTTTTTGCTTAAAAAAAAAAACTCCTTCTGGAAAGTGGTTCTCTTCTCTGCTGCTGCTGGCATCCAACATGGAAAACAGCGACATCCAAGAGCCAAGAGGATTTTGAAATTCTCTTTCATCCCACCCCAAGCCCAGGAGAGGGGCCAGTAACCCCTGTCAAAGCCCAAACTGCCCTACCCAACCCTCCCCCCCTCCCGGCAGTGTGGGGCTGTGGTGTAAGAGCCGCTTGCTTTCTTGCTCCCCCAAGCACTGCCATAGTCTGGATGGATCTTGGAATGCAATTCAGCTCTCTTTCCCCTCCACATCCTCTGCCAACCCACGTAACTGTCACAGCAATGACGAGGTCACTTAATGGGCATTTTCCAGGAGATGGACATTGGACGCCACTCAGGTCCAGGGAAGAGGTTGTAGGCTTCACTCAGTAGTGGAAAAGTTGGATGCGTGTAGTAGGACTGAGGGATGCAGCGGGATCAAATTCCAGAGTAGAAACTGAGCTAATCCCAGTGGACCATTTGCAAGAACATCTGATGAGAATTGGCAGTTGTTTTTAAATACTCTTTCCCAGAGTGAAGTTAGTTAAGAGCCATCAA